AGTATATTTAAGGTCTGTAGGCGTAGACCGAAATTGTAAGTGTATATTTGGGCTGAAACCCGTCAATCACTGCGAAATATGCACTTTTTACGGACAATTTCTGTCTACGCCTATAGACCTTAAACATACTGATGTATACCGTGAACAGAAATTAATTTCTCAGGCGATTAAAAAGCTGAACTTTCAAAACCGGTATATCAACCAGACCTTTAATATGCTGATATATAGCGCGAAAAGAAAGGAAAAAAATAATTTAAAATTAAGAAAAAGGAAATTAAAAAGGCTGAGCCTGCATTCCCCATCTCATTCTGTACTGCGCTCCAGTCATTTTTCCAGCCTTACTTAAAAAAGACCTGGTCATTGCTAAACGTATCCTCCGAATGATCTCTTCAACTGTCGGTGTTTCCTATGTTTTTTTAGCTGACATTACAATGCAGCGACGTTTGAAAATGGTCAAGCAATTTGCTGATCGCATCCTTAGTGAGGTAGCTCACCCTCTCCACTCTGAACTAATGACTGCAAAGTCTTCCCGTACTATGCGCCGAAGCTTCCGCCATATGTCTTGCCAAACATCGGCATAGCAGCATTCTGTTCTCCCATTCCTAGCACGCTACCTCACGTGTGAAGAAACGGACATTGAGAAGTTGAAAGCCGACCTGTCTCCAGAACAGATGCGTAAATCGTGTAAACCTTTATATTTGAGTATTCTATGACCTTTTGTCATGATCCCTTTACCTAACGTTTTCTCTTGCCTCCGTGAATGGAGCCATTTTTTGGTGAAAAGTTAGGGTATTACCTTAAGAATAAAGCATTCTATAACTCTCACAAGTCCTAAGGAGCACAGTTACATCGGTATTTAAAAACGGTTTAGTGAAATAACTGGCAAATAACTGCATACCAATGAAGTCCGAGACAACAGGCGGTATCACCTGCTTTAACACCTCGCAGTTTATGGACATCGCAGGATTTGTGTTTATTTCGATTAGAAAGACCTAAAAACAACAAAAACAGTGGTCTCAAACACTTAAGAAGGAAACTTAAAATAACACCCCCCCCCGAAAGGTTCTTAGTTGTACTTGTTGATCCTATTATTGAAGGGGAGCAGAGCAATTTTCATTAGGCTGCCGCTTTGGCAAGCCCTGACCCGGATCTCAGCGCATGTGTATGCTGCTCCTTAATAGCTTCAGCTCAAAACTTGCCCTGTCCTCAGGCAAACAGCACAAGTTTATATTAGGTAGATCAGTTTAGAGGTGACCTGAGACAACGATTTTCAATATTACAGACATACCAGTACACACTTCCATGTGTACAAACATTGAAGTCTAGGAGAGCGCCACACCATGGCTGGGGCTATCAAATCGCTCTAGACAGACTGCCTTAATGTAGTTTCATCAGAGACCCGATTGTCAAAGCCCAAAAGTGTTTCGACGGTCTTCTGCTGTTTGGTAGGAAGCGAAACAACGGATTACTTGGAACATGCCTTTCGCTGCTAGACCTATAACCTAACAAGGATTTGAAATAATTTTCTTTTTAAACATTTAGTAGCATCGCTCTTCATACGTATTATTTTTACCAGTCGAAATGCTGACCGGGGAGTCTTGCGAGTGCTGGTCACGAATAGGCTAACAAAAACCCAAGGCTAGCAGCAAGGGAAATATTCTGTGGCTGAGAGCTATCATGCAAATTGATGGTTTTATTAGATGTCAGAGTTCATCTGAAGGCGGCTGAACAGAAGCACACAGAATTACTTTTTGGTAAAACAGACAAAACAGTCATTTACAATAAAAAAAACATTCTCATTAAATATTTACAGCCACCGAATATGACCCATTCGGAGATGGTGGATGGACGCTCACATATCGATTAAGGGACTCCCTCGTTCCGTTCTGCTTTAGGACTCGTTCTAGAAATCCACCAGCAGTCGCTCATAGGATAGTATTTTAGAGAGAATGATATAACAGACAAGAATGGAATGGCCACTTCTGACTTATTAGCCATCGTCAGCCAGCTATACCCAACCCTGGATGGTGAACCACTTGAAACTCGAGCCTTGACACGCCGATTAAAACTTATCGCCACATACGCCGGGGTTAAGTAAGTTAAACCCTAGTAACTGTGATCTTCAGATCATGGTTCCTTAGGTGAGGAGAAGTCAGTGGAGGCCAGAATAGTAGGAACAGTATATTGTGCACACAAAGGTACGAAGAGTAATAGGGAAGAAGATTGACTACGAAGAGCATGACCTTCAGCTAGAGTGGGGTGATCCGAAGTGCGGTCTAGTTGCAGGAATCCCCGCGGCCCAGAGAGCAAGGATTCACGCGTGCAGGCTTGCTATTCGTCACCTGGTCAAAAGGTAGCTTTGCGGCAACTGAGATTGGATGTTCTCAGATTTCGAGACCAACATCGGTGGGCCTTTTGGGAATTTCACTTCGACGCGAGCTACTCACTACAGTCTAACGCCCCAGCGGTGAGTTCCGTTACCGATCGGCGAGCGCCAATCTACCATTGTTAACGTGCCTGTTCAAAATCCGACATGCCAACGAGCTCGTGGCTCACATGTTAGAGCGTTAGACCTCTAGCCAGCAACGCACGGGTTCGATCTTCCGGTGTTGCCATACTTAGGGCTACGAATGGCTGGCTGTTGATGGCTAATAATCCAGAAATGTCCATTCCAGTCCGCCTTGTCTTTGTCCTTAATGGAATTTTGCCTGAAATACTAGCCACTGGGCGGCTATTGGCGGGGCTCTTGAGTG